ATTTATTAACTCACAAGTCTCAGGGATACATGGAAAATCCAGTGTAAATTGTAATTGTTTTAAAGTATTTTTTCGTATATAAAATACTGTACAATGATTCTTTTTTACATTAATCACAATATCATACCGGGTACTCATTTTATTACTCATAAAGCCTTATACTCATTCAGAGTTTTGACTAATTCCAGTTCCTTTAGTTTCTGATAGAGTATTCTGTATGTTTTCAAATCAATAGATATTTCTCATACTATATATTTGTACTGAATATTGTTAGTCATTTACCCCTTAGGCCCCGGGTGATGTTTCAGAATGTCCGCCTATTCCCGCCAATTTTTTATTTATTTTTGGAAAAGTTTATTTTTTCTCGATTTATTCCCACGCAGGGGGGTGGGGGGTACTGCCAGCAGCACCCTAACCTGGGGCTTAAGGGTTAATTGATTCATGTAGTAGTGAAAAGTCATAAGTGCGACCTATAAAAATAGATAACCTAAATATACAACTCTGTATTTGATGTAGTATAAAGTTGTAGCAGATCAATAAGTATACAGGAGCTTCTTTATGATAAGACATGACCATTAGGTACATTATAAAATTATCTAAAAAAATACAAAAGTCAGATTCATAAGGTTAATACCTGTGTACAAGGTACTGTAATATGAACCCCAATTTTCCTAAACCCTCATCAAGAACTACAAACTGTCTCAAAAAACTCATTATACACACTGCCTTACAGATTTTTATTATGATTGTGTGAATGATTCTATTACAACAATTAACACTGTCTTCACGTGCTGATGTGTGAAGTCTCCCACAACGTCATGGGAGGCTTTGCACTTCAACAAGGAAGAGAAATGTGTATAATTTTTTGGAGACACCCTGTACAGTATGAGTATATTAACCTTCACTCAATAGGAAATTTGAATATGACAGGTACAGTATATTAAAACTCTTTGTTGTAATAGTAATTAGTGTATGGTACTTCCTGCACACACACACACGCACAGAAAACATATCAATACTATACAGTATAGCATTTTTATTGTCAATTAGTTCACTATACTGTATGTAATTACATGTTGTGTTGTATTGCATTTATTGAAGAATTGTATATTTGATCTTTATAAATATTGACTACAATGTATAATTCATGTACAGTAGAGATGTAAGGGTGTGTGCATTAGTCTCCTGTGCTTGTGTTTGTTATGTTAATTATAGAAATTAGTCACTGTGACTGATTTAAAAAGGAGGATCAGGTAACTAACTCAGGTAAAGTAATACCAACTCAGTAAACACTCAATATATTATTTCAATAAAATGGAATTTTAGTGTGTTTGTTCTTCATTACACTCTCAATAAAGTTTAGAACTTAAATAAAACTGGAATGAAGAAGAATCAAGATGATCACTTTCTGTCTCACACCGGATTACGGTCACACCCCGAGTACTGTACAACACAATAAATGTAGAGTTGTATTGGCTTGTACGATAACCAGAGACACTGCAAGCTTGCAGCTCTTTTTATAAAATGGAAAGTTTATTAACATGATACTGTACTCTAAGAATACTATTGAAAATTTTATTTGTTATACTGTAGTAGCAATCCTGGGGATACAGTACATACTGTATTTCCATAAAATAAAGCACATGAAAATAATGATAGGTATGTGTGAGAGATATTCAACACAGATACAGTACCTGTAACATCAAATGATTAAGGATTTAAACACATTCCATGAGTGAACAGCGACCATCACAGCTACATAATGTCTTTCTTGTAATACTGTTCTAATTGTAGTCCTATGAATAATGATCATGAAAGGTTGGGAGAAGAGACAGAAGGTATAAGTCAAAACAGGGAAACTGCAATGATAAAATCTACCCTCTGAAGGAAGGGTTGTGTTGATGGTCTGCCCAGTCTGTCAGGTCCAACTTTGGTGTTTAGCGTGTTGGGAAAACTAATTAACAATCTGCATAATCTTATAATAATACAACTTTGGAAAATGACGACCATTACAGTTTACCTTAAGTAGAAATCAGTGTTTACTAAATCACGTACTGAATATTATGATTGCATTCAATTATACAGTACAGTATTAACAAGCCATTTAGTTTGATTAGATTCATTAAGATAATTTTAGATATACAGGGTGTCTCAGGAAATAATATACACATTACCTTACATATTTTTGTGGAGATTCACATGAATGTTTGTACTGGGTATTACAACAACATTGTCCTCACTTGTAGGAGACCTGACACATCAACAAGCTAAGACAATGTTGCTACTGTAATACAAGCATTCATGCTATCTCTGTGAAAGTCTGTAAAGCAGTGTGTTCAAATTTTTCTGAGACACCCTACTGTATATATAAGAGGCTCAGAAGTCATGCAACAAAATCTGTAAAAGACAATCCAGGTTTGTTATGTGTCTTCTGGGCCCCCCTTTATGATATGTATTTTATGGTGTTTGGCATGTAATGAGCGTAAGTAAGACGCATGTCCCCTACAGGTGGGGCTGGAGAGAGCTAGTGAGCAGGCAGCCATGTTCACCGTGAAGGGCCTCATCGCCGCCAACAGCAAGATCCACCGTTGTCCCTACTGCAACTACTCCTCCATTAAAACCACCAATCTTGTTAGACACATCCACACTCACACAGGAGAAAAACCCTTTGCCTGTCCACACTGTCCCTTTCGAGCAACCCAAGAAGATAATTTAAAGAGGCACGTACGCACTCACACGGGAGAGAAGCCCTATGCATGTTCTCTCTGTCCGTACAGATCCAGACAGCAAAGTAGTCTGAAGAGGCATGTTTGGACACACCATAATTAAGGTAACTAAAAAAAAAATATTAGTTTCATTTTTCCTTTTTTCTCAGTTATAATATTTCTCTTACTTTACATAGCTGCTAAATGATACTTTACATTCACCAGTGGTTACCAAGACACTGTGTACAACATTTCAGGAAAGACCTTAACTCCTCTAAATTATCACTTATCCTGAGACAGTAGATGGATACTTGATAATGAATTACTCAGTATTCCATCTATCAAAGAATATCTCGGTGCACTTGCTTCTCGTTCTCTAATACATCTTCATTTCTGGCGGGTTCTTTTACATCACTAACTTATCTTCTATCCCCTTTACATTAAAAAAAAAGACTACCCGGTATGTCCTAAACACACACACACACACACACACACATAAACAGTACAGTACGTATACATAAAACACAGAATTCATATTAATTTTTCCTTAAGATATTGTGAATCAGTGTGGAAGCCAAGGATAGTTTGTATTCAGTTAATACCAGTTGCTTCAAATTGTATTAGCTGAATACAAGCAAGATACAGTCAAGTACAGTATGTGTGGGTATTTCTAGTTGTTGTATAAAATCTTTCCCGTTACTTTTTCTTGTCTTGCGCTGTTTTCCTTGACCATTTCCCTCCTTTCATTGAAGTTTCTGAACCATTTGATCCATTCCACACAAAAAGGGTAGAAATCTGAAGGTAACAGACACATTATTTTGGTATACGTATAAACATTCGGCAGATATCCACAGACGTCCGCACTCAGGTATATCATATTCTCTTCTCATATTAATTACCATGATTTAACTCAACAATTTGTGAACATGTTAATGTGTTCTACCAGTGAGTCTTGGATTAGTTTCACATGTCAAAATATTTAATTATTTTAAAATCATATTATTTAAAGAAACTTTCCCATTCTGTGGCAATACCAGCTACTTTTATGTTTACTAATATGTACTATGAACAGTTATAATCGTGAGTTATGTAATGCTGCAAATAATATAGTGTACACTGGTGTCTTAAAATGACTTGCAGGAACTTTATTCTTTGCAGATTTGGTATAGAAGTAGTACTGTGGTGTTTACCATGAAAGGATATATTCCTTCATGCACTTAACACAAGCTGGTGTCTTACAATCATGTGTTTCTGTAACTTGAAAAAATGGGTTCCCTGTACTGTATCTGATAAGTGATGTCAGAAGTTCTTTGTAACATATGTTTTTGTAAGGTTTACTTGCACCTTGAAGCACTGAACTATTATGTGTTAAATTGGTAATAATCACACATTGACTCTTGTTAGTTAATTAAAGGAATATACTGGGTTTTTTATTCGTCAGCAGTTATTTTGTGATTCTGTTGTCCATCCAGGCTAGCAGGTAGGCAGGTCCACATCCTTCAATATATTTCAAGAATTTACTTGAAAAACTAAAATTTGATGTATGTGTTCCCTGTGTACAGGACTGAACTCAATTTATTTTGGGGGAAAAATGAAAGGTTAAGTTACTGAATACAGTACAGTACATGTACAGTATATGTTTTTCATATATACACAGGATGAACTTACCAGTAGTTAATTTTTTGTTAAATACTGACCCTTAAGCCTGATCTGTACACAAACCTATCTGGCAGAATGGGGAACTCATTTCACCAACCACTGATACAGTTTTAAATTATTACAGTTCCTTGTGTACATATATACAGTAGTGTTGCTGTAGTTCCCATATTATAAGAACTACATGAAAGGATTCATCTGCCATATATCAATGAACTGTACCTGCATTTATGTACAAAAGTTTCATGTATGCTGATATGTGTCTATCATTATCCTAACTTCAGGAATATGTTTATGGATCATCAGTTAATAATACTTGTTAATAATACAGTACAGTATTGCCTTCTTGTTTTTCTGCTCCACTGATGGATGAAGTCACCAACTGTAGGTGGATATTTATTCTTAACTCCAAACTGAATTATTTCCTAAAATATGTACCTGTTTCAAAACTTCGTTGAAGGATGTTTAAGTTATCAACTGACACAATAAGTAAATTATAAGTTCTCAAGAGAGGCTAGTTGTGTTATAGGATGCATAGTACTTTACTGGTGATATTGTCTATGTTTAGGTAGCTTTAAAGCTGATAATAAACATGTTATTCTTGAGAGTGAGTAAGCTGGGCGTCCCCTACAGGTGGTGATGGATGGCTGCTATGGGGGAAGACCACACAAGACCTTAAGACTAGCAGAGATTCCCGGCAGTACACCCGGCGTGACCAAAACCATAAGTCTAGCTGAGGCCCAGAGCACTGGGTACACCCCGGACCCTCCTGGCATCATCTTCATCCCCAAGATCCACTACTGTCCCTACTGTGCCTTCACTACCACCATCACCCTTAAGCTTACTGAACACCTGCGTATCCATGCGTTGAAAAAACCCTTCCCCTGCCCTCACTGTCCCTTCCAGGCCGTACAGGTGGAGAGTATCCGGGCCCACATCCGCACACACACTGGGGAGAAACCTTTTGCCTGTGCCCACTGCCCCTACCGCTCCACCCAAAAGGGGAACATGAAGCGACACGTCCTCAAACACCACGCTAGTAATTTTTAACAACTGTAACTTATTCATTTCTCCAGCTGCCAACGTAACAGCTCCCAGTACAATGCTTAGGTTTGAAGTTTCTCTCTACAATATGTTCATTAAAAGTTTTCAAAGTTTATACTGTATCTTAATAATGTCTTGACTCACAACTGAATGACTTATGTACAGTTTTACCAATATCAGCTATTGGGTCACATGAAGAAGAGAAACCCTAGCTTAGGTTTGTTAATCTTTAGGTGAAAATAAGCTGGGGTGCCTAAACTTAAGGTGATCCCAATTATCTTATCAATCACATTAACTTAAATAATTGATTTAACTTCTCTAGTTGATTTGGTTTGAGTCAGTGACGTAGTTGAGATCATTAATAATTTTAACCTTTATGCATCATCTGAAGATTAGCCACCAGATAATTTCAGGCTGGTTAAGCTGACCTAACCTGTCAGTCTCTCTAAAAAATAATGGCCTTTTATTCCTTATTGCCTTTTGGGGGGAAACAGTTTAGCCTTTTTGGTTGGTGAGATCTATATATCTGTACTCATACAAAAGGTCAAGGACTCTACACTATTCTGCAGTCATTGGAGTTCAAAATTTGCCTTTCTTGTTGCTAAAAAATTCATGGAACTTATCCATCCACTCACTACCAAACTTCAGCATAACAAATTTAAATTCATTTCAGGCAATAAAAACCTAAACACAACAATTGAGCAAATAAAAGATATTTGTATTGATGTGAAAGTTTACTTAAGAGAATGATTCACTGAAGCCTCCCATCTTGTCAAGAGTGTTGGACTGCTGGTGGAATAGTATCAAAACCAAGCATAAGTGGGTGACAGGTTAGTCCCAACAATGCTCATCTGAAATGCCAGAGAATCATTACCTTAATAATCTAGATATTCCCTTCTTTGAACATCTTTTAAATTAGATGAAAATCCAGTTTGTTGCAGTCAAGAACATGTGTTGTGTTCTTCCAAACTATTCCAAAGCTAGTCAAAGCAAATGATAACCTCGGCACTCTTTGTGAAAAGTTGCTATTTTAGACAAATCACCTGCCCTCACCTCCCTCCCTTTCAGAGGATTTAAGTTACTGGAAATCTCTGAATGTCTCAGACATTGTGATAAATAAGTACAGGTATTTCCACATTTCTATGAGCTACTGTATTGGTTGTGTGTCTCCAGTAGGTTCTCTTTGGCTAAACACACTCTCTGCTGAACTAAGGTACATTAAGAACTACCTGAGAAACAGGATGACAGTGGACATGTTAACTGGCCTGGGATTGATACTTATGTATCATGACATTGTAATGGATTAACATGTTATTGTTGACATGTTTGTCTCCAAAAAACAACAGAAGGTTCTTCACAAAACAAATCCTATTTGAATAATGTGTATGCCTCTGAAAAGATTTTGTTTTTGTAAATAGCTCATGGTTGTTATATTTCATTCAAATTCTATTATGAATCTATCCATATACATTATACTTCCAAATTTGTATTTGCAATGGTTTTTAGCATTACCGGGTATCTTTTTTGTAACTGTTTGAAAAATTTTCTGTGATAACCATTGTACCCAAATTAGATTTTCACTTTGTGTTATCGTAAAATGATACTGATCTAATAAAACAATACAGTTGATTTTACACTTCCTCATTGTTGAATTCTTATAAGAAATTTTTGTGGTACTGTACCTTTTTTTATTTTAGGGGGGTGCCCATTTTTCTCTGGACCCTCTCTTTTTTAAATGCCTAGAACCACCCTTGAGCAAAAAATATACGGTATTCACATTGACTTCAGTCACCTTGCGAGGTGAACATGGTACACTAAATATTAAACACTTTAGATTGTTGTTAAGAATAGACCAATTACCTCCACATTCCCAGTGTAAAGAGCTTTATCAAATGTACTTTGCTTTATAACATTATTATCAATTTATTTACCACAAAATACTGTACTTGGGTACTTTCCTATAAACAAATGTAATAGTACTGTACTGTACAGTATAGTATACTGTGCATGTAGTATATGGAATGGACTTAATAAAAGCTGTCAGTACAGTACCAGTGTATTCTGTATAATTGTGTATATTATTTACCTACAGTATTTACCGTTATTTCTTCCCTATTGCTGGATACTATCATTACACCTACCCACGAGCCTCCTATCGTCACGCTACCAATGGTGATATATAAGAGTAAAAGGAAGTGTTACTGGTACACAGGCCCTCATGAAGGGTGGCAGTAGCAGCCCTCATAAATGGTGGCAGCTCAAGCCCTCATAAATGGTGGCAGCTCAAGCCCTCATAAATGGTGGCAGCGGTGGGATGTAATGAACATAGTATCGAGTTGGGAGAAATAACGGTAAATACTGTAGGTAAATAATATACACAATTATACAAATACAAAGTTTATTTAAACATGAATATGAAATTAGAAGAAAAATTGGTTTGTACTAACAGACGAAATCTATTACTAGGCCCTCAGGCACAACATACTCACACCATTACTGGGTGGACATATTCAATACCCTTCCAACCCTACTGGGTGGACATACTCAATAGCACAACTAGGATAGTCACTTAGCACCATACATATTAGAGCAACTGCCACTACAACACTCAGTCGTCAGGAGTGATACTCAAGCAACAGCCATGGGGTCCAGCCACCATGGAGTACTATCCGACGAACTCTGGAGATCCCAGTGGGTTAATTCCACCACACAAATATAGCCCTACTGAGGTAGACATTCATCCACCAATGATGGGGGCTGGTAGTGGTGTGTGGCTTGGTGGTCCAGGGTCACCTCGTGGACCGAGCGTTAGGGCCAGACGAGCCAGCTATGGGGGCTATAGGTGGTCTGAAGTGTCTGACGGCCGGGTCTCACGAAGGTAACTGATCCTACTGGACCTCGGACATGTCCCCAGACATAGTGGATACAACATCCACCCTACAGACACGGCCTAGGCTGCGTTAGGGACCTGTATGGATGAAGGGACGGGCACTTACTAACCGGTGACAACAACAACACGTTTCAGGGGACGTTAAAGACGTAAATATGACTTTACTCAGAGCATATCAACTACGTTACTGTAACACTTGCACAATCAACTATCAATTGGGTCAAATCACTTAAAGAAGGGCAAATTACAACACAGCGTGGAATGGCATACCTGTATGGATGAAGGGACGGGCACTTACTAACGGTTAAAATGCCCGCGTGCCCTCACTCAAACTAGGCCAGGGAGTCCAGCTACTCCTATTCCAATGAATTAATTTACGGTACCCTCTGACGTTGAAATTGAGACTATGAACTCATTTTCATTCTCTACTATTATCTTCACTAACAATGCTCTGACTCAGCTATCGAAAGCAAAATTAAATTGATTACAAAGGAATGGATGGCAACAGGTCCCAGCATACAGCGTCTGCTCCCATAGACAAAGGCGGGGGAAACAGAGAAAACGGGGGACGTTTCCACTGGGGGACTCGGAAGGTTTTGTGGACGTTTGAGCGTAATATGAATCCTTAAGGTTTTCAGGTTAGCTCTTATCATGACCATTACACCAGGGGCAGCTGTGATGTTACACAACATATAACTAACATAACCTGATCCATTCTAACTTAAGTAAGGTTGAGTATACTTAGTTTGGATGTCAACGGATGTTATAGCATCATAATCTTCCACGTACAGGTACCTACATAAACACAGTCTGCTAGAATTCTCTTGAAATGTGATGTCCTTTAACCAGTCCTTCTGGCCCTGTGATTTGCCTCTAGTCCCAATTGTACTTGTGTGTATCGTAGCTACAGAAGTGTTGTTGGATAATGATAAACATATTGATTATACCATAAAACCATGCCACTACAGGCAGAAGTTTGTCCGGCACAGCTTCCATGACAAAAGTAATTCTGGGTTGGAAGGGAACCAGGTGGTATTAGTGCTAATGTTGGCACTGTTTTTCTGGTTCAGACCTTTCCTCAAGTCTCTTGTAGATATATTCTGTATTGTCAAATTAATAAGCCTTGTGCTGAGGCTCAGCGCTTCTCGCTATCTCAGGTCCTGCCCAGGTTGTTCATATTTTTATTTTAAAGGTGGCTCTTTTTTTTTCTTTTTTTTTACAACTGTGACTTTATTAAATTTCTTTGAATTACAGATGTTTCATAATACTATAAATGTCTTTACTTTTTTTTTTAAGGGATTTTATTTATTTTTTTATTTGAAACAGATTTTTACTTTAAGGGATATTGCATCTAGAATTTTGAATTGAAAAGTTCTTGATTATAATGGTATAGTTTGTCCATTACTGTACTTGTACTGTTCTGTTATATTTTATCACATAATTACATTGTCTGTTTTAGTTTTCTATAATATACTCATACTTTGCTTAGCGCTGCCCCTTAGAATACTGATTCATTTTAGCTTTCATTGTACTGGAGAAAGCTTTACCAAAAAAACTAAGAAAATTAAGAAAATCCAAAAAGCACTTCATAACTTATACGTGAGAACACACACTGCTTGTCAAGGTAATGCAACACTGCTGTCTTCCTCACACTCTCTCAGCCAATTTCAAGGCTTTCTGTCTGCATGTAGCTGGTTAAGGAAACAGATAAGCACTTGATTAGGGACTTCAGGAAGACCTAAAATATCAAGAAGTCCAGCTGGCCAACCAAATAGAACCAAAGGAAATTTACATCAACAATGTGGAAGAGCTACTGCAGTACAAGTATAGTCTCTCAGGAAGGAGCTGGAACAACAGCATACTGCTCAGGAGGCCAATGACACTGCTGCAGAAGGGGCTTCACCTGAAATTAACCTCACCACAATACTTTTGACTGACAGTATCACTAAGATCACAGAGGTCATGGAAGTGTTCTTTGAAAATGACCTAAAATGAGGGTAAAGCAGTACGGTATGGTGGAGAGTTTCCGGCCAAGGCAGTCAACTCTTAGTTTCTTCTAGTCCCGCAGGAGGATGAGCCACACCCCGGCCTATCTTCCCAGCAGTAGCTCCTCCTA